GAGTTTTATTTCTTTAGCGTATCATGAACACGAGAGAAGTAAGTTTATACATACAATCCATGTACTTTTATACCTCTGTGGGGATATGGTAGTGGCCTCATAACTGCAAATATACAGATAACCCTTGGGTTATGACCATAATGGAGCCTGATCATAAGATTATGTCATGATAGTCATAAAATCGGTCACCATATGATCAATTTGATTTTATTATTTTCTTTGCTCCAGTTAAGTAAATCAATGGCTTGCCATGGGCCACTTTTTGCTGAAAATTTGAAGTTATTGCTGGTTTGGGGGAAAATTGTTGTAAAATGGGGTCATATGATTGTGGAACACTGCAATTAGCCATGAATAGTAGGCTAGTTGTCAAGTGCTCAACATGCAGTCACATGACCACAGGGTCATGTGACAGTCAGAACTTCAGAACCAGATTGTAAGTATCCCGAGGGAGGTCTATTGTAGCATCAAATGGTCATTAAGTGACCAGTCATAAGTCAAGGACTACTGTAATTAATAGAAAACACAGAACTGTAATTCCAAGGTAAAGACAAGAAAGCAAAAATGAGAGTGACAAAACAGTGACAAAGTGTTCCTTTTGACTTAGGTGATGAAATTAACACAACATGTCCTATGACCCAAAGCATAACCTTATTGCTATATCCTCGGAGATGCACATCTCAGTGGCTCAACGTCTTACACAAGGCATACCTGAGAGTTGCTCCTCTTCCTTAAATAGTGCAGGATCTTGATTCTGGGTCCCAAGGGGATCCCCATCTCTTTAAGTTCCTTGTCTGTGCACAAGGCCTGCATATAAGAATTCCACATTCAGAAACACAGTTCTACTATAAACAGAATACAGAAAGGAAGAGGGAAAGGGGCGGGGCTTAGGCTGTCCTTCTACATGGCAACTTCAAGAGGCAGCTCAGCTTTGTAAAACCAACATACTAATCCCAAATAAAACGAAGAGTTTGCAAAGCCCAGAATCGGGAGAAAATGCAGAAAATGTGACACCTAAGTCCATAAGCTTTTCCATAAGCAATTCCTGTGACCTTCCCTAGTTCACAGACTAAGTCTTGTTGCCCAAGAAGCAATGACTTTGAAATGCCACACTACAAAAGAGTTAGAATGAGAATAACAACATGCTTCCCCAAAGATTCTAGCACAGAGAGAATGTGGGGGGGGGGAGGGGGGGGGGGAGGGAGAGGGAGAGAGAGAGAGAGAGAGTTTTAAATAACACTGTCCTTAATTATAAGATTAGGACATTCTTGTATAGGCAGTTGGTGTTCTAAAACAAGACAGAAGTAATATAAATAAATAGGAAAGATAGAATGTTATTCCTTGCCAAAGAAATATCTAATTCTGAACATGAACTATCCCACATGATGATCTCCAAGTATGGTAGATCCAAACAAAAATTCAATGGAAAAAAATACTCATCCATATCTACCACCCTTTGGTAATTATTGACCTAAAGTTTATTTGCCTCAAGAGGCCATGCTGAAGACAGGTATATAAAAGCTATCAGCATCCATGTTCTAGGTAACAGAAGCAACCCCAGTTTCATTTACCAATGCTTGATGGTCCATTTTTTCCTTCTCAAACACAGCATAATATTCAGAAAGATCAAGTTCTGCTAAGATGTCCTTCATAGATTTGTTGACTTCCTGATGCATTACCAGTCTTTGTAATCCCTGTGGAAAGTTAATTGGGAAGCTTTTAAGGCTCCTAGTTTCCTTCAGTTTAGGATGTACACAAATGTTATCACTGAAATAAATCATCAAATTGTAGAAATTTACAAATGATTCTCCTAATACTGAGTTGTAGAACCTGTTTAGTGTAGTGGTTAAGGCATCAGACTAGAAACCAGGAGACTTCTGAATTCTACTCCCTCCCACCTCCTTAGGTAGAAAACCAGGTGTGTGATTTTGGACCAATTACTCAGGCAGCTCTGAAGAAGCTTCTTGGATGAGAAGTAAAACTTCTAAGAAAAAACAGAAAGTCCAGTTGCCTCTTGAAAAAAACACCTTTGGGATAACCATGATCTGGATGACTGAGAATTGCCATAGACCATTCTTCTCCTAGGACTACCTGACAGTATTTCTGAAGATTAGAAAGTTATCTTGGCTAAAAGAAAGCACACTGTGAAAATATCAGTGAACTTGGGCTTATCACAAATTGAAACAACAGAATAAATGCAAACATGTACCTCTTTTTTTTCTTGCTCATCAGATGTCCATTTCTGATTTGTGAGAAGATCGAATAATATCAGAGACCCTAAGAAAGGAACATCATGAGCAGGTATGAATGTCTTAGAGAAAATCACAAATAGGGGATGTCAGAATTTGCTAAAAGGTTTCAACCTTCTCAAACAAAATATAGATCCATAATTCTTGTTAGTTTTTTTTAAAAAATGGAGAAATTACTGATTTTACAATTTGAAAAGTGGAACAAATGGAAGAAACTAGTATTTTTTTAAATCTATAACCTAGGAAGTTTTTTTTAACTTTGTACAAAAAAAGAAGACAAATCCACTTCAAAAGTTTATGTTCTAATTATTATTATTTTTTGTTTTAAATGTAACATCAGTATATCACCCACTAGACATAAAAATGCAAGGAGAGGAACAAATCTCCCAGCCCTGCAAATTTTTAATTTACACTTACACCAAATAAGACCACTATTGACTAGAGCAGCATTCTCCAACCTTTCCAGCTTTGAGGACCAGGCAAAAGGGGGAGAATGGTTCTGCGCAAGCAGCTGGCAAGCTCGTACATGTGCAGCTCCATTTGTGCCCACCACTCACACAAATGGATGTGTGTGCAAGCTTGCCCGCTGTTCATGCAAGTGGTATGTCGTTTCTGCACCCCGTGGACCGACTTGCTCAAGATCATTAATACTTGATTAAAACAATGTATTTGGTTTTAATTCTTCTTTTTCCAGTGATTTGCATATGTTTCAGCTGTAAATTAATTTAAGATAATCATGCATATATTGTTTTCTCTCTGGAATTTTTTTTCTATGTTGATCGAAGAGTCCAAAACATTTGTATATTGTAAATAACATACTGTATGCTGATAGGCTTTGCATCAAAGTCAGAAAAATAATTATACCTAAGCTATGGCCAGCTATGGAGACGCCTCCTTTGAAATCAGGATTTCTCTCCAAAAAGAGCAGGTAAATCCGGTTCATTTCTGATGCAACCGTATCCACAATGGTTTGACAGTAAGTAGAGCTGTTGTAGAAAAACACATCCAGAATGGTATCATTGATGAAGTGACGTAAGCGGTTGATGCTTGGCAAGGTGATTCTCTCCAAATTTCTGTGAGCAAAGCGGAGAAGGACATTTAAACCAGTCATTTTCCCTCTTAGTATACCATCCTCTATATTCTGCCACTGAAGTTTATTTTATAGTAAGGAGGCTTCACTACAAAAGCTAGATCAAAATAAAACACACTAATAAAAATACTAAAGTCCTCTTGTGATTGGTTTTATTAACCCATAAGCGCAATTGGATTCAATGAACTTCCAAACCAGTATAATGAGAATTGACCTGCAAATTAATTGTTTATACATCTACCATACAGTCCTTATCAAGGAAAGAACGATTTGTGGGTTGGCTTAGCTTGGCTTGGGTGAGATCACAGGAGGTCTGGAAGAGTGAGGTATCAACCTCTGAGACTAAGGAAATCAGATCTATTTTATCTGTTTTATCTGTTTTATATACATTGTATAGAGTCCGTCTAAAATGCAGAGAATCTAACTTTATTGCCTTCTCTTGCGAGTTACAATTGTAGCATTTTATGAAATGAAAAATATCTTTGTAGATCTCAGGCTATCATCAAACCATACAGAAGCATTGCAAAATGCACTTACACATCTACTCCTGTATGTAAAGTACTGTGCCAGTTCACTGGAATAAATTCAACTCGACCAATCTGTTGCTGTTCCTGAGCTTTCTTGAAATGGGCTGAGAGCATGTTCAAGGAAACGCTGCGGAAGTCGTTGACTGAAGAAGAAGATGCAAACACTATTTGGAATCAAGGTAGCTATTACTGCACACTTAACAATGGGGAAGGAAAATGGTACTGGCAAGTAGACTCAAGACCGGAAGTAGACTCAAATGGGAAACCACAACAGGAAGAAGGTGTTCCTCTTTCTCAACACTATTTATTAGATTTTTATTCCACCTCATTACAAGTAACTCAAAGTACAACCACCACCACGAAAGGTGTGTTGAATTGAGTCAGAGCCCTGTCACCCAGCTAGCTTTCCTGCCTAAGGGGGACCTAGAAGTCAAAGTCTCCTGGTTTCTATACCAGATTGTTAAATAAATGCAGAGACAAAACTTCCATCTACTATAGTTCTAAAGTGTTTGTAAAACTTCAAATCAATTTTGGCTCATAGTTAGTTCTTGTCTGGTTCTTGGGCTGACAGATAAGAACTGGCCTCAAGTCCCCCAGCTGGCTTGTGCCTAAGGTGGGACTAGAATTCAACAATTCCTTTCTGGTTCCTGTAAACCACTACATCAAACTGGCTCTGCAAGCAGTTTGTAACTCTCATATATTTATTAAAAAGAGAAGTTGTTAGTCCTAGCAGTAGCAGCAATTGTCAGATTCTTGTTCTTCTCTCCAGTTATGATTCTGGAAATTTAGCATTTCCACAGATACATTTTTTCAGAAGATTTTTAAGAAGTTCCCCTTAGAAGCCTCATTATTGACGTGTTACTGTACAGGTAGCTTCTATAACAAGGTTACTTCACTAATGTAGTTCAACCTCCAAACCATATTGATGCAATCCATTTTATGCAATCTATGCAGTGGGATAATTTTATCCAATAGGACAAGATTAACCTTAAAATGCTACATTCATTGTGAAAAAGGGAAATGTCCAAGCAACTGCTTCAACTGCTTCCTCATTTAAAATTTAAAATGATAACAGCATTATGTAAACATTACTTTGGAGAACCTGGCACTGCAAAGGATGTCATTGCTCAAGTCTCGCCTCCTACAATATTAGTCAAGATTTATTGATGCTTGACTTAACACAATGTAATTTATCTTTTCACAAATCTTGAGTCATAAGCTTTCATGGATCACAGTCAACACTAACACAATCTTTATGTCATAGTAAAATGTGTTTTAAAGGTGTTGTAAAATTAATTCCCAAATAATTCCCAAACAAATAATCCCATGTAACTGAAGGCTTCCTAATATGAAGGAACCATTATTGTTGGGCACATCTTTCTTTGGAATCTGGCTCATCTCCAGGTAATTGCAACAGTAGCTAGAAATAAATGATTTCCCAACATCAAAGTCTGTTACCAAGTTGATTATGATGATGATTACAATGCTAAACCTATAATTATTGTGGAATAAAAGCAATTAAAAAGCATTGGTATAAATTAGTAGAAATATACAGGTAGTCCTCAACTTAATTTGGTGATTGTTCAAAGTGATAACACCATGGAAAAAATAGCTTAGGAAAAGCCTTCGCATTTATGAGCATTGCAGCATCCTCATTGCCATGTGATCAAAATTCAGATGCTTGACAACTGGCATATATTTATGATGGGGTAACGTGATCTTCACCTTCTTAGTTGGCTTCCAACAAGCAAAATCGGGAGGGGGCGACTACACAACTGCAGCGATTTGATTCACTTAACAACTGCAGCAATTTGATTTAAAACCAAAATCGAGTACAACTCCCTTAACAAACACGTTGCTTAGCAACAGAAATCCTGATCCCAGTTATGGTATTAAGCCGAGCGTCATCTATATCCACTTGTAGAAGAGAACAAATTTGGGGCTTTATACCTGGCTTTATATGGTCATGGTGATAATATGTGTCCATTCAACACACTCAAATTCTTTTTGGGGATGCAGAACCAGCAACTTTTCTTCTTTGCACTTACCACATTGAACGATACTCCGGAATCGAATATCACAAGCTGGTCCAATTCCATGAACAACAAAAACTAAATGATCAATTTGCGTTGGTTCCCCTGAAACAAATGATCAAGAAACTACTCAGGGTGCTGTTCCCAAAAGTTATCAAATATTATTATATCTGGAATGTCTTGGGGTTTTTTTGGAAATTAAAAATGCTGGAACTAGATTAAGCATTTGATAATATTCAAGCTTATTCCAGTTGATATGATTTTTACAATGAAGCTGAATGGAACAGAAGGGGATAGGGATAGGGATGGGACAGAACAGAATGGAACAGAACAGTTTCATTTGGCCAAGTGTAATTGCACACATAAGGAATCTGTATCCAGTGCAGAATCTCTTCTATTTACATGCAAAACAACAGAATAATCAATCAATTACACTAGAGCTGGAAGGGACCTTACGGGTCTTCTAGTCCAGCCCCTTGCTCAAGCAGGAGACCCTATACCATGTCAGACAAGAGGCTGTCCAGGATCTTCTTAAAAACCTCCAGTGATGAAGCACCCACAACTTCTGAAGGCAAGCTGTTCCATTGGTTAAATGTCCTCATTGTTAGGAAGTTTCTCCTTTAATTCCAGGTTGCTTCTCTCCTTGATTAGTTTCCACCCATTGTTGCTTATCCTGCCCTGTGATGCTTTTGAAAATAAATTGACCTGCTCTTTTTTGTGGCAGCCTCTCAAATACTGGAATACTCCTATCATATCCCCCCAGTCCTACTTTTCTCAAGACTAGCCAAACTCAAATCCTGCAACCGTTCTCCCTGTTTTAATCTCCAGGCCTTTAATTATCTTAGTTGCTCTTCTTTGTACTTTTTCCAAAGTCTCAACATCAGTTTTGTGGTGAACAAAACTGGATGCAATATTCCAGATGTGGTCTTACTAAGGCTTTATAAAGTGGTACTAATACTTCACATAATTTTGATTCTATGCTTCTGTTTATACAACCAAGGATTGTATTAGCTTTTTTGGCTGCTGCTGCATACTGCTGGCTCATGTTTAAATGATCATCCACTAGGACTCCAAGGTCTCACCCACAGTTACTGTTTTTAAGCCAGGTTTCACCTAATCTGTACTTTGGTTCATGTGTACACTTTACACTTACTTCATGTGCAAATATACTTTACATAAGACAGTCTAAAACAGTTATGCAGATTCTGCTGTTTCTGTTCCTTTCCTCTGTTCTCTTCTCTTTACTCTTAAAAATCTTGCTTAGAATAATTTTCTAAAAATATATAGTACTTTCTTAATGTTTTAGTTTCATGCTTCTAATTTGTGTTAAAAATAATCTCTGAGCACTCCTTGAGCAAAACATATTAAACAATGAAAGTGTGTTCCAAACAAAGATGAAAATAATTATCCACCATGAGGGATTTCAACAGATATACTGTCCACTCCTCTCTTCACAGTCCTTGGCCGGCCTTGTTCTGCAGGACTCACACCCCAGTCGTCTGTGATTGCTACTGGCTGGTAATGTACCATTAACTTGAAGGAAAGAAAGACAAGTCAATCAGGTCAGATAATCTGATAACCAAATGGAGACAAGCATTAATAAAAGTCACTGCAACTAAGCAAAGAAACTAAAGAAAATCCTAATGGCCACACAGACACCAACCATGCAACAGTTTTCAGCCTCCTGCTACTGATTATGTTGTGCTTTGAATTATATAGCACCAGAGAGAGGCAATTGAGAGTGTTCCAAGGGCAGGTTATGAAACAGCTACATTTATGCAAATATGTCTTAAATCCATTTAAAAACAGTAAACAGAATTTCTGCCTCCCAGTCATTTTCCAAAGTCTGGCAGAGCTAAAAATACAAAATTTTGCTGGTCTCCAAAATGAGACCAAAGGGCAATGGAAAGAAACCACTTGAGAGAGCCACATCATTCCACACTTCTTGAGTCACAATCAAAAAAGCTCAAAGTTAATAGAAACCAACCTCGACTCTTGGAAAGAAAGCAACCTCAGCTGACCTGAGGATCCTTAGGAGAAAAAGCATCCTCTTTGCTCTTGCCTTATTAGGCAACTTATAGCAATCCAGATGTTGCTGAACTATACTTCCTAGCATCCAACCAAATTGATCATATCCCTGGGAATGGGAGCAATTATAGCTGTCAGGAGTACAAGTATTCCTCGACTTATGACCACAATTAAGGCCAAAATTTATGTTGCTAAGTGAGACATTTGTTAACTTTGAACTTTGCCCCATGATATGACCTTTCTTGCCGCACTTGGAAAGTGAATCGTTACTGTTGTTAAGTTAGTAACATAGTTGCTAAATAACTCTGGATTGCCCCATTCATTTTGCTTGTCAGAGGGTCACAAAAGGGGTTGACTCCAGGAAATAGCAACCATCATAAATAGGTGCCAGTTGCCAAGTGTCTGAATTTTGATGACATAATCATTGGGATCCTGCAATGGTTGTAAGTGTGAAAAATGCACATAACTCACTTTTTTCAGTGCTGCTGTAACTTTGAACACTCACTAAAAGAACTGTTGTAAGTTGAGGACTGCCTGTATAGCTCAGGCAGCACATTTGAATATCATAGGTTGCCAACTCTTTTCCTAGAATTTTGCAAGACACTTTGATAACTGAGTTAACCTCTAAAAATGGAGCATACTTATCCTCTCCTAACATGCCCCATATAATTGCTCTCCCTGCTCAATATCCTTAATACAGGAAAATATACTGTGCCTATGCTAAGCAAGGTATCATCTCACTCTAATTTATCACACATTTTAATATAATTATTTTTAATGTCATTTAATTTAATTTGAATTTAATGTAGAATGTACAAGAGGTCATGCAAAACCTCATTCAAGTGCTCAAGGATGCATACATAGAGCTCTTTCCTTCTACTTTTCTTACAACACATCTATAAACCAACAGATGTAATTCTAACATGAATTTCTAAGCTTGTTAACTGCAACTGGAAAGCGTATGACCTTGGGCAATATCACAGACCGTTAGGAGATGTTTCCTAAAGGAAATAAATATATATTGGTCAATGAGCAGGAAAATTCTCCTCTCCCAGACCTATTCCTTGGACACACAAAAGCTTGTGTTTTATTATGTAAACTTTCAGAAGTTTTCTTAATGCAGCTGAAATTATTAAGAACAAGCAACATTTTTCTTGGGAAGAAAAAACTATCAACTTTACCATACCTTTGGATTATGTAATATGATTACTTCTCTGTTTGGAGATTCCAATTTCTTCTTCCATTCATCTAAGGTCACACAAATCATATAAGTGTCCTTCAAAGGAAACCAAAATAGAATACTTTGAGAGTCAACATATTTTTTACTTTTACATTATAGAAATCTAACTCTATATAAATTTTATTCAAAGTTGACTACTCTAAATAATTACATAAAGCCAAAAATGTTGCAAATGACTGTCAGTATCATTCTCTCTACATTTGCAGGTCAAACAGAAGATGTCTGCAGAGACAGTGGAAAGGAAAGGGAAAGGGAAAGGGAAAGGGAAAGGGAAAGGGAAAGGGAAAGGGAAAGGGAAAGGAAATTAAGCCTTCTTTTCCACTGCAGTGCTCTCTAATATGGTGTTTGTTTCAATAAGATTTCAGTTTAGAAAAACCAAGAGAACAAATTGCTGCATGTTTTCCACCATATGCATGGTTAGACATAACAAGATATTCTTCTTCACTAATCGTGAGAATTCTCTGTAGAGAAATTATTGCTTCTTTTTTGTTTGTATGGATTATTATTTCAAATGGCTTGATTCCACTTTAATTACTTTGGAAGCAATTTATATTTTGAGTCCCAAAATATAACACTTAAGATTTTTGGTTCAGCTTCATATCATTAGATATCAGAATCCACTAGTTAGATTTACATGCTTTCAATTTCCAACTGGAACATACTACAAAATGTACTGCCTATAATCAAAAATGTTTCTGTTCAAACTCAGCTGATGGAGGTAATCTAAGCATTTCTGAAACTATGATACTCATCCAGGATACAAACAAATTACTGTCTAGGAATAATATACAACTAGGTGAGGGGTTAACAGAGAAAAATTGTATCTCTTACTGTTACCTACAGTTATCAACTAAATTCACCACAATGAATTTGTCCTAAAATGTCATTTGCCTCTCAAAGAACTTGGGTAGACTTATCCTCACTTCCAAACAAATATCCAGAATGAAGCTGATATTTGTAAGGAAAAATGGACTCAAAGAACATAATGTAGCAAGGAATTGGAATATGAGCCACTCTTAGGTAGATAGGCCTATCAAGTAAGCCACACATTGTTCCTTGCAGTGTGATGGTCAGCAGATGCTAGGTTCTAAAAAGCAAAGTAGAAAGGCAAGGTATCTTGCAAAGTCAAGACTGATTTTTTTTAAAAAAATTGGCATTTGCAGATGATACCAAGTCAACTTGGTCATAAAACAGAAAGAAGGGAAGCTACTAATAACTAAGGAAGAGGGTCCAACTGCTCTAAGGTGATGGAGAAGACTGCTGAGGAGGCAGCTCTCATACAATCTAAATATTTCTATTTGAAAGGGCCTCCTCCATCCCCTTTGGATCAGAAAGAGCTGAATGGCCAAGGACTAGATTAGATTCATAACAGCTGATTCGTGAATGTGGCCTCCAAAACCAAAAAGTTAGTAAAATATTTTAGAATTTAAAAGAACAGTCCTTGGAGGGATCCTGATTTGGCTCAGGGTAGTGCTTTTGTTGATTTAGTGATGCCCAGTTATTTACCAACTAGAGCGCCATGTTGGTGCCGTGGTTAGAATGCAGTATTGCAGGCTAACTCTGCTCACTGCCAGGAGTTCGACCCTGACCAGCTCAAGGTTGACTCAGCCTTCCATCCTTCTCAGGTTGGGAAAAGGAGGACCCAGATTGTTGGGGGCAATGTGCTGACTCTGTAAACCACTTAGAGGGCTGTGAAGCACTATGAAGATATAAATCTAAGTGGTATTGGTATTACTACCCTGTTAACAAAATAAATATGACAGCTCTTACCACTTGTTCTGTGGAAGAAATATTTTCTTTCTAGGGAAGTGAGAACATATGGCAGGATAAATTTAAACTGGGAAAGTATCACAGAGAGAACTAATCCACACAGCACTATGTGTCTAATGGAAATAGCTTGACTGATATTTATATTTCCAAATTATATAAGAGATCCCGGTCACATTGTCCCCCACGATCAGCTCCTGGATAATGTGAAGGGCATTTCCAAGGAAATCAGAAAGATTTGCCAGAAATAAAAGTGATGCAATAAAGAATAAGACTCATGTTCTTAATCAACATTACCTCTAGCTGTTCACTGAAGTTTTCAGGATATGGAATGTATCTGTTGTCTTTATCGCCTTTATAAAACCAAGTACAGCGTCTTACTTCTGATTCTTCTTCTTCCCAGTAAACAGCATAGCGCACCCTCTTCTTTAAGTGGACGTCATACCGGCCCCCTTCGGTAGGCACAATCACCTCCTTGCAATGCTTGCCTACAGAACACAAGGGTTATCATGAAACTAGATGCTTCCTATCAATAAGGCTTTGTTAAAAGGAAAAGGCTGAAACTGAACACAAAGTTGTTGGGTGTGGAGAACCTATAAGTCAAAATTCCTATAACTGACAACCGTATTATTATTTTTTAGAAGACACATTACCTAGATGGCAAAATGTCCAGGAAAATACACTGGATAATATTTACAAAAAATACATCAGAAGGCAAGTGGCAAATATCTTGTCCCTCCGTTGTGGCCCATAGTTGGGTTAGTCTTTTCCTTATGTCCTGGAAACCTTAATTTTATATACAATATACCGTAGATTTCCAGTTTAAATGATGGCTGATCTAGCCTGAGAATATCTGTATCTCCTGTATCTCTATTTATTTTCATCCATTTGTGATATAGGGAAAACATGGACTCTGCACAGGGTAGAGAAGATACAGTTACCAGTTATTGATGGACTTTAGTCGCCATCACTCATGATCACTGGCCACACTAGGTAAAGCTAAAGTGCAACCAGATCCATTTCTAAAAGGTCCAAATCAACAACTTTATTGTATCCTACTTGGCTTCCCTGGGAACAACCACATAACAGTTCATGGCATTTGGGAAGGGTCAGGCTTATGCCTTTCAAGGTTAGTATCCCACTTGACCCCCTTCTTCTTGCCTAGACAAGAGTTTCTCAAAAGAAAAGAACTAGAATCCAACAAGATGTAGAGGGTGCTACACTTTTGCTTTAGATATTTCCCCCCAACAGAATGGAGCTGAGAATTAAATCACATCATTTTGCAATAGACACAAATAAAATGCAGAATTAACTGCATAAAAATTAGAACTTCTTTTGGGGGCATCACATTTCTACTTACTAGACTGATAAGCTGTTTCCAACTTCTCTGAATCTTGTTCACTGAAGGGAATCCATTTGTCTCTGGAATCTACTGTCCTGCAGTAAGACCAGTGAGGAGAAACAGGTTCATATTTATTGGCTGCTTCTGCTTCTACAGCTTCGTAGTAAGTGGATGAATTTGAATTTGAAGATGGAGAGGCCTCTGTTGATTGTTGCTCTGTTGTGGACATTGTACTGCCTGGTACAAATATGAAAATGAAGCAAACAAGCCAAGAAAATATGTTAAGAACTTCATTCAGATTTCACTCAGTAAAAAGTTATGATTTATTTTTTGTGAAAAGGGTAATAGTGCTTTTTGTCAAAAATGAGAAAGAAATAATACTAAAAAGCCGCAAATGAACCAACAGCAACTGCAGATGACTCACTTTTTAAAAAGCCCCTGGAACCATCTACAAGTATATGGATATGGACCACCTCAGCAACCTTATTACCAAGCAAGGCTGGAATGAGCAAACATATGTAATTTTAGCCCAACTGTTTGCACCCCTGTGTCTAATTCACATACCTTTGTTGAAACTAAGCTAACAAGGCAATCCTACACAAAAATAGTTGCTCCTGAGTTCACTAGATTGTACTTTCAAATATGCACAGAATCAGCATGTAAATTGTGTTTTATAAGAACATAGAAGAACACTTTATGCTTAGCAACCATTCAATCAAAAATGACTTTGATACTCAACTCTATATATTTCTCATACATGTGGATTATACATTTTAATATATTTCCCTCAACAAGGAATATTTTAAAATTTAATAACTAAGGGCTCCACAATTACCCCAGTGCCCATTTTAAAAAAAAGGTGAACAAAGAACATCCATTGATTGAATTGAATTTTGGTACCACTCAGTTTATTTGGAGTCAAGCAACACTGATCTGATTAAACAATGATTCGTGTGCCAAAAATATCTTTCATAATTTCTGTCTGCTCTTTTTCTAAAAATTAATTAGTGTTAATCATCTTGTTTTCTGTTCAATTTTTTGCCTGCTTCTTCTCCTGAAGAAACAAAATTAAAAGATACCATGTGGTTCAGAGTTTAGAAACTTATAACTTCATTTGTAACAAAAAACAATGTAGAAATAACTCAAACTTTCAGAGTTCAAAGTTCACATTACAAACAACTTTGGGAAGCAACTCAATTACAAATCACATATTTTATAAAGTAACGAAGTAGCTAACCCTGTAAAGCAGTTAAAAATTCAGGAGTGGATATATCTCATTTTTTCCTCCCCAAATGTATATTCTTTTTTAAAGGGGAGGAGAAAGTACTCATTGCATCTAATTTCTGGAAATGTTACATTTCTAACTGTGTAACTGTCTCACTAATTCAATTATTTTTGCCACTACGGATTATGCTTAAATTAAATCACGATTGTTATTTCTGCAGGATCCTCCAGATATTTTGGACTACCTCTCCCATATCACTTTGCTATAGGCTACAGAGAGAATTCGGTACCCAAATATCTGAGAAACTCCAGGTCTTTATGAAAAATCAGGATGTGATTTACACACACTATGCTAACCTTGTGGATCATTCATATAATCGACAAATTTACAGTTTGCAACATAAGTGAAGTATCAATTTCCCAGTCCCATTCAAGGGTAGGCTTTCACTGGCAACAGCCCAATGACAAATCTGGATAAATATGGAAAATGTGGACATTTACAATTCTTGCTCCCAGCTGCATCAAAGACATTGTGCTCCGCACACAATGTGTTGAATTCAGACTGGAGAAGGAGCTGGAAGAAACGTCCTTCTGTCACGTTGGCATGTGCCCAGTCCCAGCCATTGTTGATGGTACCAAAGCCCCATTCAAGGTCTCATTGGCCATCTTTGCTAAATACGGTTCCACTTTCTCTCCTGCACCTGATCCATCAGCTTCTGAGGAGTTTCTCCAGAGGTCACGCCTACAACCAAGCCTTTGCCTAGTGGATGACCCATGACTTTTCAATAAAGAAATGACACCCTTGGGCTGCCAGCCAGAGCCCCTTCTCTCCAGGGGTCTCCCTGCCCCCCCCCCATCCCCATTTATCTCCTCCCCTTCTAGATAGTCAGCCTTGGAAATCCAAACCTGGGCAGATTTGGAAAAGACCTGGGTTCCGGTCCTCTGCCCACAACCTACCTCTCAGGGCCTATGAAAGGGGTGGGGTCCCCAGGTGGGAGCACCTGAGCTCCATCTCCCTCCCAAAAAAAAGGCAAGAGGTAAAATGTTAAATGCCAATTACAACGCTGAGTAAACCCAGAGGCATTTCTCCTTTATGCCAGGGCAACCTTGACAGGCATTCATAAAGAAAGGAAGGAAACCACAAGGAAAACCCAAAGGAATCCGTGGAATGGCGCCACGGAAGAGCCGGGTGGCTTTGTACAAACATACACACAAACACACGCGCGCGCGCGCACACACACAAACACACGCACATACAAACCTCATTTTGCCCCCGACAAGCCTCTCCCGGGACCTCCATCCCATCCTCCAAGGTCGCTACCCCGCATGACCTGCCTCGTCCTTCCGCGGCTAGGCGGAGGAGAGCCGCATCCCTTCCAACACGCATCCCTTGAACGTCTGAAAGCGCCAACCGGGAGAGGGTATAATTTCCCCCTCTTCTACCGCCTTCCCCCCCCCCCCCCCGTCCCCAAGCCCCCCGCTCTTTCCCCCCCCCACTCTCCGGCGCCAGACTAGCCTCCCGCCCCCCCGGTTAAAAGCGCCTTCTCCCCGGCTCACCCGGGTGGCGAGAG